ACTTGACTGAACTCTGGACAGAGAGAGAGAGGGGGAGAGGAGAGAGTGTCTGTGTGTGGGTGGGTGTCTCTCACTCTTTCTTAGTCTGTGTGTGTGTCTCTCTCTGTGTGTGTGTGTGTGTGTGGTCTCAGTCTCTGTGTGTGTCTGTGTCTCTCTCTGTCTGTGTGTGTGTGTCTCTCAGTCTGTGTGTGTGTGTGTCTCTCTCTCAGTCTGTGTGTGTGTCTCAGTCTGTGTGTGTGTATCTCAGTCTGTGTGTATCTCAGTGTGTGTGTGTGTCTCAGTCTGTGTGTGTGTATCAGTCTGTGTGTGTGTGTCTCAGTCTGTGTGTGTGTCTCAGTCTGTGTGTGTGTGTATCAGTCTGTGTGTGTGTCTCTCTCAGTCTGTGTGTGTGTGTCTCTCTCAGTGTGTGTGTCTCAGTCTCTGTGTGTGTGTCTCAGTCTGCGTGTGTGTGTGTGTGTCTCAGTCGGTGTGTGTGTCTCAGTCTGCGTGTGTGCGCGCGTGTGAGGTGTGGGGAGAGGGATCCAATGTATTTGAACGTTAGAAAGCCAACACAAGACAGCCTTACACTGACAGGCGTCAATCAGGTGTTGACACTAACAGTTGGTCTTAAGTTGATAATAATAATAATAATAATAATAGTAAAATACTGATGATCTCCCATTATTTTTGTTGCACCGTTTAGCTTTTTTTTCACAAGTAAAATGACAGTAAAAATGTTTTTTTTTCCTTCCAACGTGAAATTTTCTGGACATGTCAAAATTGGTCGACAAGCGAAGCCTTAAAACAGCCTATTTTTGTTAGCGGAGGCGAGTTTCTTTAAGTGCAGCAGAGATTCGTGCGGTTTAAATTCTTGACAGCAGTGGGTCCCACAAGCTATAACACGCTTCAGTCTGTCTCGTCCTATCCAGTGTGTCTTTCTTTCCCTCTCCCTCCCTCTTCCTTACACTTTTGTTCTTAACTTCAGATTTTACCTTTACCTTTTTTTTCAACGTGGGGGGGGGGGGGGGGAAACTTTGCACCAACGAGAGACTTTTTTTCTTGAAATCTAAAGAAAACATTTCTTTCAATTTGAAGAAAAAGGAGCTTTTCCTTTCTTTTAAGAATGCAATACAGGTTTAGAGTGGGGCACAAGTCAGAAAAGGCGAGCGGGTGAAAAAGAAGCCTCTGGGATTGCTCTGTGTGCAAACGGGTTGCAGTATGATGCTGAGCACAAACCTAATTCCATTGAAACGCTTAGCGATTTTGGCTGATGCGGAGTCGATCATCTGAATTTAAGAGCAATAGCTGCTTTTCAGTCTACTGCAACACTTACCGTGTTACAGTCCAGTTGGAATCCTAACACACCCACTCTGGAATTAATATTAATCCTGATAACAATCCCTGCATTTGATGTAGCGCCTTGTCACGCCTTTGAGACGGCTCAAAACCCTTCACGTCATAGGCTGTAAAGTGAACTGACGGTATGTTTTGTGGGCGAAGTGCGCTGAATGAAATAAATTTCAGTCCAGTACGTGAGACGGAATTAAGCTCCGTCATAACAAAACCACCACTTTGTTTTGCGCGGGCTCGCCTGGCACGTTTTAATTTAGAAAATGTATAAGTTTTCGTGTGGAGGGGGGAGAAAAAGGATCGTAAAACAATAATCGGAAATAAATTTGATTATCATTATTATTATTATTGTTATTATTCAGGTTTCAGTGACCAGCAAATACTAACAGCGGGCATGTGTGTGTGTTAGTCAGACTACTGTTTTGCTTACAGTAAGAAATCCATTGTCNAAAAAAAAGGGTTACTGTCTCTCTAGGGTGAAAGCAATAGCTATTTGTGTTTGCTGCTGCCTTGGCTGGTTTGATCCTTCTCCTGGCAACTATAGTGTGCAAGCAAAGTAAAGCAAGCAGGAGATTTATTGCATTACCTCCCATCGCTTGGAGAATAATTGAGAAGCGAGAGAGAGAGAGAAAGAGAGGAGAAGAGGGAGGAGGGGGAACAGTGCAATGATTTTTTTTTAAAAAAAACCTTTAAACGTTCAAACGGGTCAACTTCCTTTCATCTGCGACGAGAATCAAGGGCAGGAGTGTGATTAGCGACTGGCTCAGGGCTAAATCCCGTCTATGTTAGCTGGTGGCTGCAAAAAAGTAATTACAGTACACAATCTGCAAGCGAAAGCGTTGGGAGCTCGGGGGGTGGGGGGGTGGGGAGGGGGAGTGGGGTGGGGGGAGGTGGAGTGAGGGGGTGGGGGTGGTATGTGGTAAATCCAAAGGAAACAGAGAAACAGGCTACGCTCTCTTTTTCCTGTTTCATCTTTCCCCCAGGGTAGCAAACCTCATCTTAAGTAGCCAGTGTGGCCTGAAATCTCCAATCGCTTTTATTAATAATAATATTAATAAGCCTTGCCTTTGATACGGCGCCTCATCGCGTCGTCGTGACGCCTCAAAAGCGCTTCACGGAATATATTGTAAAGTGGATTTATTGGATTTTGTGGGAGGAATGATGTACAATTGAACCTTGAAAGCTTGGGTTTGGGGGCAGAGAAAGAGAGAGAGAGAGAGAGTGGGGTGGAGTGGCGTTGGGGCATCAAGAATTATCTTATCTTGGTCAAATTCTAGCCCACAAATAAGCTCCTGGCTTGACTTCTATTATTATTCTGTCCTGAAATGTGTGAAGCTCAATCTTTTGTTTTTTTT